GTCTCTTACTGAAATTGAGAGTATTTAGAATCTCTTACAGCATTTTGACATTGTCAAGACATCCAAGTGTGTGACTATTTTTCTAGTAATTTTTATTGTATTTTGGGGGGGGGATTTTTATTTTATTCAAACAGAAAGTCACAAAAATTATAATCATCCTCATCAGTTTGTATGTTTTTAAGTATCAGCTCATGAAGGATTAGAAATAAAAAATTCAGGAAGTCACAATTTTTTTGTGAGAAAAATATAAGTTAATATCTATCATAATGACCGTAACAAGCCCTTAATAGATAACAAAACTCAGCCCTCGAGGCTTCATCCATGGCATAGATTTTGCCTTGGAGAATAAAATGGAGCTAAGGAAGGCAGAGCCAGGTTTAAAAATTATTTGGCCCACAAGCTGGGACCCCAGTGAAGCTTTCTCTAATTCTGTTGCTGTATTAAGGCCCCAATATCCAAGGTATATTTATTTCTAATTAATGCACAATTATATACAGATCACTTTCTATACATAGGTGCTGGAGGAATTAAAATACAGTTCAAGGCTTCCAGAAGTTTACACTCTAGGTGAAAGAGCGTAAGGCGATTATAAACATGAGACACTGGAGTTTGTGGGAGGCTGCTATAAAGAGACTATTGTGGGGACTTCCCTTGTGGTCCAGTGGGTAAGACTCCCCGCTGCCACTGCAGGGAGCCCGGGTCGATACCTGGTCAGGGAGCTAGATCCTGCATGCACACCACAACTAAGAAGTCCACATGCCGAGGGCTTCCCTGGTGGCGCAGTGGTTGAGAGTCCGCCTGCCGATGCAGGGGACAAGGGTTCGTGCCCCGGTCCGGGAAGATCCCACATGCCGCGGAGCGGCTGGGCCCGTGAGCCATGGCCGCTGAGCCTGAGCGTCCAGAGCCTGTGCTCCGCAACGGAAGAGACCAATGCCACAACAGTGAGAGGTCCGTGTACCGCAAAAAAAAAAAAAAAGAAGTCCACATGCTGAAACTAAGACCCAATGCAGCTAAAATAAATAAATATTTTTTTTTAAAAAGAGAGACTATTGTCAGTTGGTATATGAATTCATATATTCACGAATGCCATTCAAATATATCCATCTCCCTTCTGTTAAATGCCCTTCAACCTAACTTAATAATGTAATCCATTGAGACCTCTAAGGGAAGGTGACTGTGTACAGGACTGTGATCAGGAGAGCTGAGCAGAGATGCCAAATGCCAGACAGCTCACTCCCTTTCCGAGGGGCTGGCTTCCACATGCTGGCAGGTAAACCTGTAGTGGGGGCGGCGGGGGGGTGAGCTTTAGACTTAAAATGATTATAAAGCAAATAATAGCTGAAAATAAATGAGAAATTAGAAAAAGAGCAAACTAAATAGAAGAAAAGAGTATCATATACATAGTATCCATGAAGCTGAGAAACAATTTAAACTATATGTTAGTTCTATTTTCATGAAATGTGGTCCACGCATTTTCAGATAAAGTACCTCAAAATTAAAGCAACTGGACCAATTGTTAATCTGAAAAAAGCACAGTAAATATATTATTTCCCCTGTATTTCCGTTTTTTTTTTTTTTTTGGATCTTCTATAGTTGTATTGCCTAATACAATAGTCACTAGGCACACGTGGCTATTTAATTAGTGGAGAGTGAAGAAATGGAACATTATCACAACAGCAGGAAGTTCTATTGAACAGCATGCTTTATAATGTGTGCATTACTTTTTCCAGATTACTAGTTGAACTCACTGAATTTAGAGGTACTTTATTCAAAAAGGTGTTTGTAAATTGAAGAAAAATATACTGAGCTTGTAATTTGAAAATATAATACACTGTTTAAAAATGTTTATCCTGGGACTTCCTTGGTGGCACAGTGGTTAAGAATCCGCCTGCCGGGCTTCCCTGGTGGCGCAGTGGTTGAGAGTCCACCTGCCGATGCAGGGGACAAGGGTTCGTGCCCCTGTCCGGGAAGATCCCACATGCCGCAGAGCGGCTGGGCCCGTGAGCCATGGCCGCTGAGCCTGCGCGTCCGGAGCCTGTGCTCCGCAACGGGAGAGGCCACAACAGTGAGAGGTCCGCGTACCGCAAAAAAAAGAAAAAAGAATCCGCCTGCCAATGCAGGGGATATAGGTTCAAGCCCTGGTCCGGGAAGATCCCACATGCCACGGAGCAACTAAGCCGGTGTGCCACAACTACTGAGCCCGTGAGCCACAACTACTGAAGCCTGCGTGTCTAGAGCCCATGCTACATAACATGAGAAGCCACTGCAATGAGAAGCCCTCACACCACCACAAAGAGTAGCCCCTGCTCACCGCAACTGGAGAAAGCCCGTGCGCAGCAATGAAGACCCAACGCAGCCATAAATAAATTTTTAAAAAAAAGTTTATCCTAAGTTTCACAACTTTTTAACACCCTCCAAATACATAATTAACTTTCTAAAGGCTAATTTTTATTTTCACCAGGATATACCTGCACATAGTTTAAGGAATCAAATTATTTAACAAGACATAGTAAGAAAAAGAAATATTGTTTGCTCCCATCACATCCCATTTCCCACTCCTTAGAAGCAAGCAATTTCAACCCTTTCAGTTATTTAGTATGTTTTCTCCCTGTCCCTAAGGCAGATGCTTATACTGCTGCTTCCTATGCTTTCAGGTTAGGTATCTACCTACTCATTTCCCACTAACGGAAGATGAGCATTTCTTTCCCAAACTCTTCCCATCACTGCCCCTGCACACTTCCCTCCTCATCCTTCCAATAAATGTATTTTGCTTCATAAAAATTCAGTGCTGTAATTCTTGACTGTGTAAATGATATTCACAGCCAAGCTATACAGAACATCATTTGCCTTATTTGAATGTGTACAAGTAGGTATAAAGCTTGATGAATTTTCACAAGCGAGCACATTATGCAACCATCACCCAGATCTAGAAACAGGACAGAGAGACGGAAGCACCCAACAGCCTTCATAGTCCTCCTGTCACCCCTGTCCTCTAGAACCACTCTGACCATTTTTGCTATAGTTCTGCCTGTTCTTACAATTTATATAGAATCAGTGTACTCACTTTTTTTTTCATTTATTCGTGGCTGCATTGGGTCTTCATTGCTGTGCATGGGCTTTTCTCTGGTTGCAGAGAGCGAGGGCTACTCTTCGTTGTGGTGCACGGGTTTCTCACTGTGGTGGCTTCTCTTGTTGCGGAGCACAGGCTCTAGGCGCACAGGCTTCAGTAGCTGTGGCTCACAGGCTCAGTGGTTATGATGCCTGGGCTTAGCTGCTCTGTGGCATGTGGGATCTTCCCGGACCAGGGCTCAAACCCATGTCTCCTGCATTGGCAGGTGGATTCTTAACCACTGTGCTACCAGGGAAGCCCAGTGTGTACTCATTTTTGTCTGGCTTCTTTTGCTATTCTTTTTCTAGCTTGAGATCAAAGCTTAGGTTATTGATCTTTCTTTTCTATGTATTTAAAGCTATAATTCTTGATAGCATTAGTTATATCCTATAAATTTTTACACGTTGCATATTATCATTCATTTCAACATAGCTTTCCATTGTGATATTTTTGTATTTTAAAAATACTGATTTTTCTCCATCACGTTGTGATATGTTCCTTACACCAATCCTTAGAAATCTGTTGAGACATTTTATATATCCTGGACAACAGCTGCAGTTGAGGTCATCACCTGATTAGCTGATAATACGGTCATTTCCCAAGATCCACTAAGTTTCTGTACAGCCTGAACAGATGTTAGGAGCCTTTACCCTGAATCTTTCTGTATTTTTTTTTTTTTTGCTTGTTTTCTTTCTGTATTTTTAAGGATGACACTTGGCAATTTCCCCAGAGATGTAGCACTGACTTGCTTTACTATTGTGGCTTCTACTTGGCCCTTGTTTCAGTCAGGGAACCAAAGTGGGGATTCTGTCAGTTGTCAGGTATGTCTATCCCAAATACACACTCAGGAACAGGGAAAGTAAGCACAGGGGTAAGTCCAAGAACTGAGCTGCCTGTGACACAAGCTAGGGCTCAACGTCCATGTATGACCTGACCCAAAAGGAAGCCAACTGTCAAAGAAGTGTTAAGTCACAGCCACATTACAAAAACCATGGGAAGCAAATTTGGAGTGAATAGACAATAGGTGTATGAGAGCAGTCAGACTGTCAGATCTCACAGCTCACCAATTGTGTCTAACCTGTACTTATCCTGTCCACTGAGCTTTAAATCTGAATTATTTTTCATCAATTCTATTTTGACAATTCTTAAATCTGCCTGATTTTTTATAGAACCTTATTTCCCCATTTTTGACACTTATTTCTTTACACGTATTATACAGTGATTTCAAGTTCTGTATCTGATAATGCCCGTATCTGTCACCTTTGTAGAGCTTATTCTGTAATTTGTTTCTGCTAACTCTTGCTTATGATGGCATTTCTTTCTATATGGTGGATTTATTTCCTAGCTCAGTCCCAGGTCAGATTGGTTCTCCTCTATCAGCCTCCATCCATTTTCCAGGTAAGAGGAGAACAGGAAAAGGCTAGCACTTTCACCAGGGAAGCAGAACTGTCCTCATAAACTCCAAGTAGACTTCTGCTTACATCTCCCTGATCAGAACCGTGTTACAGCCCTAACTGCAGGGCTTTAAGCCTCCATAATTGAGAGCACTGGTGATGAAGTGTTGAAAGAGCCACTGTGAGTTTCTCCATGTAGTAGAGACAGGCAAGAGTCCCAAGTCACTGCGAGGGGGTTGGTGGCACAAGTCATGAGGGTTACAAAACGCTGTTTTGGAGCAGGGGTTATGGAACGGTACTCAGACCTAACCTACAAGGGCCGTTAAAGGCAAGGCCTCTGTTTGTAGAACCACTGCTGCTGGCCAGGTTCTCCCTGTAGCTGCTGCCTGTAACTCACTATTCAGGGCCTCTAACACACCTTACAGTAACCAGCAACCACCAACCAACAGATCAGGAATTTATATAGACAACGCAAAAGATTCAAACTGACACAAAAAAAGAAGAAACATCCCTTGGTCAAGATTTATTTCAAGGCCTGAAAACACTAATTGGAAATGGCCCTACTGCAGTTTCTTATAATAAATACTTTACATATAAAACTTAAAAAAATGTAGACACTGTTAACTAACTGCTAAACCACACACTATAGGCTTTTCAAAAGCAATAGTTATTTAACAAAATGTAAGGTGACAATATCAAAGAATTTTCACATTTAATGAGGACACAATCAGTCGCAAGCTACTCACACACAAATCTTTTTTACACTTTCCATGTTTGTTTTAAATTTTGTTTCACAGAACCACTGATAATTGAGGCTTCTTTCAAGTATAGGATTTCTAGCATTAAATTACATTTTCTAAGTATTTCTTTAAAGAAGAAATGAAAAAGACACATACTACACTGTTTGCCATAAATTCATATACCAAAAAGTCAAAACAATCCAACTGAATTTATTCCTGCTTCCCCCTTCTCCGACATTAGCTTTAGATATTCTTCTAAATATTATATAAAGTTTTGTTAAAATCAGTTCTCATTTATGCAGATTAGGGGAAAATGGTTTTATAATGAGTTATCTTTAAAATTATCTTCTAGATAGCACTCTTTAGCCTTAAATTACATTGTGCACACACAACTACAACAGGCGGCATTTGCTCAGGAACATACAGTCACATTAAAAACAAGTAGCTTTGCATTTCATAGTTTAGTTGGGTCTTAAATAGTTTCCCTAGGGGAGGAAACAAGTATTTTGTGTTGTTTAAGAAACTGGTATATATAAATGAAATGCTAGGTGTTCGTTTAAACTTTGAGGAAACCTACAGATGAACATTTGGGTGTTTTCTCTAAAATGCAAGGGATATGCACTTAATCACTGTTCATATAGTGAAGCGATGGGACGGCAGATACAGACGCCGATGAAACTCTACATTTTGTAAATGTAAAGTTGGATATTCTAAATGGAAGAACTGACACTGAGAATTATTTACAGGAAACAAAGGTTAAGAAAAATGTTGAAGAATATCTACTCTTAAAAAGGGAGAAGTGTTACACAACACAAAAATGAGAACTAGAGATTCGAAAAACACTCATTTTACGGTTTTAAAAGAAAAACAAAAAAATAACAGGGAGAGAGTCTAGACCAATTAGAACTGAGGCAGCTGTAACAAAAATGGAACACAGTACAATGATTTGAGCCCTTAAAGGAAATGACTAACTAAAGTGAAATTTCACAAGTCTTCATGTCTATAATAATATATAAATGCACAAAATATCAAAATTACGAATTCTGGATTTTTCCCCTCAGGTTTGTAATAAACTGTCAAACCTCTGCTTAATATGTTTATTTTTATGAGCCTTCTGATTAGCAGAGCATGCTATGCAGGTACATGCATGCTAGAATTTTACCATGAGAATTAACAGTTCTCATCTCAAACCAGTGACTTGCCTGTTACCCATATTTATATATATTTCATTTCCATTATAAAACACTTAAGACCTTTCTAGTGGTACATTTTAATCAACATATTACATTAAAAAGAATCTTGATTTTTAAAATGAACCTTTTTAGTACTGTAACACGATGGGTTTAATTGAACAGTTGGAACATAATATGGTAACTACATTGTACTGTTTAATTCACAGCTGTAGGAAAATGTTTGATTTTTAAAATATAACCAAGATGAGACTGTAGAGTTATGAGCAGTAATATATTAGAAAACAGTGAATGAATAAATAAGATGCTTTTCCTTCAGTGGCCATTCATTATTTTGCTTTTAGGAACCTGGAAGAAATTGTCTTCTTTGAGTTTCAAATGTTCTGGTAAATCTAGCCGTTTCTTAGCTTCCTCAATATCACCTTGAATTGCTGAAATAAGTGACTCTGTGGAGAGAATATACCAGGTAATGATAACGAAAATCTGCTGCTGTGCTTTTTTACTACTCCTTTGTTCAGCTTCTCCTAAAATCTCATAGGCTGGCAGTGCTCCTGGCACAGGGTAGATGCCCAATAATGTCTGTTTCATCCTTTCTTCTAGACTTAAGTAAAAGTCAATAGTACACAAAAGATGTCCCTAATCTTCTTGCAATTACTTAGAGAAAGGCATTAGCAGAAAGGTACATGGCATATACTAAATGGAAGAAACAAATACTATCAATTCTCTTCAATATTTACACTTGTAAAAGAAACTCTACATTAGAATTAAAACTATTACACTACACTAAGATTCTTGACATGTCTTAAATGTTCCGATTTACTGCTTCTTGCACTTCAACTACCGCTAAGCATCCATTATTCACAGTATTAACTCTTACTGGTTCCTTAAAATATGAAAAGGAAATAAGGATTTCATTAACTTCATACTGTTGGAGAGAGAGCCAGCCTGCTGGGTTTGAATCTACGCTCCATCACTTACTATGCTACCCCAGGCAAATTACTTAACCTCTCTGTGCCAATTTCCTCATCTGCAAAATCAGCAAAATAATTCCTCATGTGGGTGTTGTGGGGATAAAGTGAGTTGATTCATGTAAGGCTCTTAAAGCAGTGCCTAGCATATTAAATGCTCAAATATTATCTGTCTAGCCATGATTACTATTAGGAGAAGCAGCAGAGTAGCTGCAGTAATATTTAAGAAGATCTAAATAAGAACTTACCTAAAGAATCAAAGTTCTTTTCTGGTCTGAGGTAGCCAACAATGGCCACGTTGAGAATTTCCCCATAGAAGTCCTCTTTGAACGTATGCATGATATGAGTTTCCTACAGTCAAGAGATGTTAAAATTGAATTTATCTTTATGGTGAGGTAATTTAAATGAAACAATCAACCCTCCTTAAAATTTTAAAGACAGGTTAAAATCTAAGTGCAGTATTTCCTGAATTCTTCCATTGCTCCTGTTCTCGACCTTGTACCATTATAACTGAGTAAGGTAGATGCTATCCCACAAATCTGGTGTGATTTGCTGTTTTTAGAAAAAGCTAACATGCACCAAAGTAATTAAGAGTCTTATCAAGGTGAAAAAACTGAGCAAATACAGCAGAGGGAATGAGCAAAGAAACTCTTCTTCAAAAGATACCATTCCATTAAGCGAATTAAAAAAAAAAAAAAAAGGCAACACAGTGGAAGAAGGCATTTGTCATACATAGTTCCAACAAAAGAATTGGATCCATAATATATTAAGAACTTCTTTAAGTCGGTAAGACAGACAATCCAATTTTTTTTAAAGGGATAAAGACTTGAACAGGTACATCATGTATGTCTGTTATCAGCAAAGAAAAGAAAAAGGAAAAACTCTAAAAAGTATGAACCTCCTACCAACAGAAAACTGTTTCTCCTAACTATGGAAGGACCTCCAAGGCACTCCTTAACTGGCTCTATGGTAAGAGTTCTGTTATCTGAGTAGCTAATAAGGAAAAATTAGTCATGGGATAGCCTTCCCTCCCCTTCATTCCCTCTCTCATTCCAGTGAAAAATATTTTGCCTTCTTTCATCGATTATTTTCTTTATCTATTCCAACACAGCCTTAATCCTGAAAAATAAGAGGAACACTGAGCACAACGTTAAGTAGTTCTGGGCCACTTCTATTGCTTATACCAGCACTTTTCTATAAACTCTTCAAAGAGGATGAAATTTAGATCAACTATAACCGTTTGTGCCACATACTTGAGCTGACCCAAAGATTCAGCCACATCTACCAGATTAAGCACTTCAGCTGTGTAGGTCTTCTGTTCATAAGAACAGAAGAATTATGTATGCTCTCAAAGGGGTTTAAAAAGAGGAAAAAGGGCTTCCCTGGTGGCGCAGTGGTTGCGAGTCCGCCTGCCGATGCAGGGGACACGGGTTCGTGCCCTGCTCCAGGAAGATCCCACATGCCGCGGAGCGGCTGGACCCGTGAGCCATGGCCGCTGAGCCTGTGCGTCCAGAGCCTGTGCTCCACAACGGGCGAGGCCACAACGGCGAGAGGCCCGCGTACCGCAAAAAAAAAAAAAAAAAAAAAAAGAGGAAAAAAAGCATCACCTTGCAATTTTATCAGAAAGCACCATCCACAGCGTAAGCAGTTCTACCTTAACAGGGTGACCAAATAATTAGAGTAAATGACCTACATTAACTGGTGAACTCAACTTTATTTCACTTTTATTTCTAATAAAGGTAAACACATGGGCAGTTATAAAAATTAATTATTGTAGTTTTGGCTTGTGATTCCACTTTCTATTTTCTCCATGATTTAAAAGATAAATGCATAAAAATTTATTAATCTATGTTATTGGGTACACAATGATGTAATTTGTGAGTTTTGGTATACTATTAAGTTCATATAAATTCAAAATATTTTTATAACTTTAGGATGTTAAATGCAGTCCCCATGGTAACCACAAAAAAATATCTATAGAAAATACACAAAAGGAAATAAGAAAGAAATCAAAATGTGTCACTACAAAAAAAAAGTCAACTAAACAAAAAAGGCAGTAATGGAGGAACTGACAAAAAAGCTATAAAGCATACAAAAAACAAATAGCAAAACATCAGAAGTCTCTCCTTATCAGTAATTACTTTAAATGTAAATGGATTAAACTCTCCAATCAAAAGGCAGAGGTTAGGAGAATGGTTCAAACACACAAGATCCAGCTATACCCCCTTTATAAGAGACTCACTTTAGATCCAAAGACACAAATAATCTTGAAAGTGAAAAGGATGGAAAAGTTATTCCATTCAAATAGTAACTAAACTCTTCACTTTTAAACCTGTCAAGTAAATTCTCATATTTGGATTATGTTGTGATCACCACTGATGAGTTCTGTGTATTAGTCTAAATCATCATCCCACTCTCTGTTTACTGAGTGAAATACAATTATTAATTCTTACCATGGACTTTTTTGTATTCTTGTAGTACGGGTTCCATCCTATGCTCACCACCATCTTATGGACGTCTCCACTTCCAACACTGGCCCAACCATAATATATGCCAGTGGATACATCAGCTGGAAGATTATCTACTACTTGTTCAGGAAAGTTAGCTAAACAACAGAATATGCTAATATTTAGAGTTTCATAGTCAATATTTAGAAAATTCACATGTAAGGCTAGTCTAAATCATTACCCTCACAAGATTCCTAGGACTCTAACTACAATTATTAATCCCATCATTTCATACTCTGGCTAGGATTTCTTTCTCCTCTTCATACGGATTGGTTAGGAAAAAAGGTACCAGATTATATAAGTTACCAGGTTATAGTAAGTGTACCAAAAATCGTAAATTCTCACAGTAGAAGAAAACAGGTACATGAACAGCTGGGGTTTTTTTTTAGCCCTGGTCCTTCTTAAAGGGGTTCAGCGTCTCTTGAAAAGATTTCTATTTTCGAAATATACATACTAGGTCCCAAGCTCAAAGACTGCTTTAACAGGTCTAGCTGCAGCCCTGGAATGTATTTTTAAGGAAAAATTAAGCATACCTCAGGACCTGACTACTAAAACTAATGCAGACCAAAAAAGATACCTGGTTCTCATTCATCTGCCTGTGTCATCATTTGGACACAACCTACTAACGTATTTAAAGAACGAAAACCTTACAGCTGCCTTGAGAATTTAGCCTATCGGGCCCACATTACATTTTCTAAAGAGAAAGACGCGCGCCACGTTTGGCGGATTTATCACGGCTGGATAGGGAGGCGGGAAAGAGGGCTCCCGAAACTCAGCTCCGGCTTCCTGCCCTCACCACCCCCCAAGCCGGTGAGCTCGGAGCCACGGGCAAAGACGCGCTCCATCAGTCCGACCAAAGGTCATCAGCCTCAACAAAGCGGGGGCGGGGAGGACGGTAACGTCACCTCTGCCCGTAGCCCCACCACCCGGCCCGGAGCCCCTCTGGCTAACGTCCTCGCTCTCAGGTGATCCGGCCCAGCGTGGGTGGGGGCTCCGCACCCTCCCGCGCTCACCTGTAGGGATGCCCAGCTGCTTGGAGCCGCGACCGAAGCCCCGCACCACCTGGCCGCGGCAGAAGTACGGCAGGTGCCTCATGACGCCGTCCGCTCGGGGTGCGGGCTGCGGTCCAGAACGCGCGTCCGGCGGAGCCGCCGTCGAGGCGGTGCCCGGACGCCCCGGACCAGCCGGGGGACGCGGGCGGGAGCTCCAAAGGCCGGCCGGCCGGGCGAGCGCACGGGCGTATAACTGGCCGAGCGGCGCGGACGACACGCCACAGCGAGACGCTCACGCCACTGACAGAAGGTGCCGAGCGACTCAGACGCTGCGTCCGGGATCCGGAACGCCGGCGACCGCGGAAGTGCGGCTGTGGGCGGGGAGCGGAGCGGGGTGGCTTGGGACGGCCCCCCAGCCCACCGAGCGCCACGGGCCTACGCACTCTGCCCAGGCCGAGCGCCCCGGCGCTCGTACGGCTTCCGTAGCCCCGCCCCCAATTTAGCCCCGCCCCAGCCGTAGCCCTGCCTCCAACGTAGCCTGGAAGGTGTCCGTTCTTTTCTTGGTATCTCAGTCTTCCCGGGCGGTGGAAACCGAGTCGGGGGCGCGTTTTTCAGCCTGGGACCTGTGAAAGCACTGTCGTCATTTTCAGACACTCCGAAGTGTTTCTTTCCCCTTTTTCCTTTTCATTATGATCCTGATGCCGAGAAGAGACGTTCTTTAGCTCCTTGACAACTGCTAGGTTGCTCGTCATTCATCACTCATTCGATTTTTAAAGATTTATTAAACCTCCAAAATTTCACCTCTTCATAGAAGCTTTTCACGACTAGCTACGGGAAGTGGACCTCCTCTCCCCCAGACCACTTGACCATGGTCTGAAGTTGTATCAGTATGTAAGCTCCAGGGGAGCGGGTCCTGGTCTGTAACGCTGCAATCCCAGTGACTAGTGGAAGGTTACAGTGATGCAATTTTTTTGAGCAGGGAAGCGGCTGCCTACCCTCCCTCTATCTTCCGGTCTCCCAATAAACTTGATGTAAGACTTGATCTCTACTGCAATGTAAATTTGTGGGCCTTCTGACCCTTGAAACTGTGAACATTACCTCGGGAAATAGTTCCAGGGTCACTCACAAGATCTATCCTCTTGTTTTTGAGAAAGAAGTTTTAATTCTCTTTTGCCTTTCTCTACAAATGTGTGTGAAATTCTGTCCAGCCTTTGCAGTCATTATCCTTTTACCTTAACTCTAATAGTGCTTACCCAGTGTTCAAATTATGTTCTCTCTCTATTGGTACCAAAGGGGTTGAGAAATGGAATATTTCCAGTCATAACGGTAAACAAAGGATGTCACAGTCATTAGCGATGTAGCCCTCCAGTATGAGCTGCTGAGCCCTGAGGAAACTCATGATGTGAAAACAGGATACTGGCCCCAGATAAGTGAGGTGCACATCAAAGGAATGATTTCAATAAGCCCCGATTCTTGCATCTTCCCATACATAGAAAGCTACTAAATTCCTTAACTTGGGATACCTGGTTTTCTTTAATTAACAATAATCTTTTGACGTTTGGACTACCTGCCCTTTGTTGTAAAACTTCTATATAACCTGGCTTCCCCCATTGCCTCCCCGGAGCCGTTCTCTCAGGGTTACTTGAGATGCTGCCCCCCAGGCTTGAAGTCTTAAAAATTCCTGCTGAATAAAACATAACTCTCAACGTTTAGGTTGTGGGTAATATTTTAGTTGGCAGGGTCTTTGTTGGTAAGACTGTGTTATTTCCCTAATTAGTGCCTGGCTCATAGCAAACTCTCCGAAAGTATCTGCAGGAAGAATGAATTGAGCCCAGCATGTGCCAAGCACAATGCAAGGTGTTGGGGGAACAAAGGTGTCTAAGACAAGGTCTTGGCCCTCAGGAGACTCAGCTTAGTCGGGGAGACCTATTGGGAAGCCTGATAACATAGCATTCTATGCTATAAATAGGCCAATGAAGTCCTGACAAAGTGCTTGGAAAACTGCTAGAGAGAGCAGTCCTCAATAAAAGGCATTTTGTATAGTTAATGGTTAAGTGCACAGGTGCTAGAGCTAGATAAGCCAGGGTTTGGTTGCAGGCCTTGCCTCATTTAATTGCTGGGTGGTCTTGGGCAAGGTACCCTGTGAACTAAATGGGCATATCAATAATTTTGTGGGGTTTGAGTGAGATATTGTATCTACTGCACTCAACAAATTGCCTGGCCTGTTGTAAAAAATTCAGTAGCAGCGGCAACAGCAGGAACATCCTTATCCATGATACACCAAATAAAACCCTGGAGATGAGAGCCTGGGAAAGCATACGTGGTGGGTCTACTCCTCCAACACTACAAGGAGGTGTGACAATTAAATGAGGTAAAATAATTAAATGGGTCATGGGGGACAAATGAGGAGTGGTCTTAAGGATTAAATGAGATGATAGTAAGTACTTCACACACTCTTTCATGTAATCCTCATTATCAGCTTTGGAGGAAAGCATTAAACCCAATTTATAAAGAGAGAAAGGGAGATTTGGAGAGTTTCTAAGATGGAGCATTTGGGCTCCAGTTTTTTTTAACTGCGTTGACATGTCAATTACTATGCATAAACACTGTGTAATCCGTGCAGGGTATGAAAGGCAGAAGCCTGACTCTTTTCCATTGCTGCTCAATAGCCCTCAGTGGCTCCCTTGGTACTACAGAATAAAATAGCCCTCCAAGGGTCCCCTTCAATTTGCCATTCTGGGTTTTATCTCTGAGGACTCCCCTCAAGTACTTTATATACTAATCTAATCAGAGCCCCACCACCCTACCCTGATCTCGGAGAGGCAGCAGTGGGTGGTGGCGTGAAGCGAGTTCTTAATTCCCTGTCCAGGAATTGAACCTGGGTAGCCTGGATGAAAACCAGGAATCCTGGCCAGCAGACCCCCTCGCTCTTGCCCCCAGTGGAAAATGCATTTCTCACAGAGGCAAAAACTGTAAAAACAGGTACAAGTTTATTATTAGAGACATAGCACAACAAGTGGGAGAGCACACAGAGAAACAGTTTGTTTAGTTAAGATACAAGCAGGGCAGAGATGCACATCAGATAGAATGGGTGTGGGCGTCCCCGTAATGAGGAGGAGAGCAGTAAAGAGGCGGTTAAGTCATCTATATTGGGCAGTTCTTCCCGGTCTTTGTTTACCTTTGGCCAATTATCTGGTTTCTGTTTCCACACCTGACCTGCCCTAGGACCCTCCCAGACATGCATGCGCAACTTTTTTCCACGATGGATTCCAGCCCAGAGGTCTATGGGATGGCCTTAGCATCACATACTACGGACTGGTGCCCCCTCCCTTTTGACCCCCAAGGAGCCTTTCGGCGCATGTGCAATGTTTCCCTTGCCCCAAGGATGGGAAATGTATGACCTCTCGATCTTTAACAGGGTTTAGCCCCTCTCTGTCCCTGCCATAAAAGTGTCCAAATGACCAGTTATCTACACTATTCTTGTTGTTGTTTCTTACATTTAAGTGCAGCTCTTGAAATATAGACAGGAGTCCGGTCACAAATATGTAGTCCAGAGCCCGTTTGTCTCTTGCCTCAGGCAATGTGAACAAGGGGCTGGTAATTGTAAGGTCGGATCTTAACAAACGGCACCGCGAAACAGAGGAAAGCTTCAAGTGAGCTTTATTAGAGAGCGCTCCCGGGCGAGGTTCACTGGTCCGAGAAAAAACGGGCCAGAGAAGTCGCGCCCGGGCGAGGGTTTGGGCAGAATTTATAGGGGAAGAAGGGAAAGAGGTGTGGCGAATCCGGGAGGGCGCAGGGTATTCCTTATTTGGTGGTCTTTTTGGGTATCGTGGCAATATCCGGTGCCGGTCGCAGCAGTCCTGGGACCGTTAGTCCTGCCCCTCGAAAGGCGGGAAGGCTGGGCGGGGTGGAAAGTCCCCAGGTCAGTTCCTGGAACTGGGTGGTCCGGAAAGTCTCCAGGTCAGTTTCTGGAACTGGGTGGTCCGGAGAGTTTCGGTCTGATGCAACCTGTGAATTTGATTGCGTTCCCCTGCCTCGGGCCAGTTGGCCTTACAGTAATGAATGTCCGGCCTGTAGCCCATCTTCTTCTCACCTTAGGAAACTGAACAGGAGGCTGTTGTAAATGTCTAGCCTGGAGCCCGTCTATCTCCTGCCTCATCACCGTAAGTAAACAATAATAAAAAAAATGAATCTAAAGAACTCAACACTCAACAATAAGAAAATAAACAACCCAATTTAAAAAATGGGCAAATGGTCTGGATAGACATCTCACCAAAGAATATATAAAGATGGCAAGTACATGAATGAAAAGACATTCAACATCATATGTCATCAGGGAATTACAAATTAAAACACCAAGGGGGCGCTTCCCCAGTGGCGCAGTGGTTGAGAATCCGCCTGCCAATGCAGGGGACACGGCTTCGATCCCTGGTCTGGGAAGATCCCACATACCGTGGAGCAACTAAGCTCATGTGCCACAACTAATAAGCCTGTGCTCTAGAGCCCGTGAACCACAACTACTGAGCCCGCGTGCCGCAACTACCGAAGCCTGCACGCCTAGAGCCCGTGCTCCACAATGAGAGAAGCCACTGCTACGAGAACCCCGCGCACCGCAACGAAGAGTAGCCCCCACTCGCCGCAACTAGAGAAAGCCCACGTGCAGCAACGAAGACCCAACACAGCCAAAAATAATAAATAAATACAATTTTAAAAAAACAACAACAAAACGAAACACCAAGGGGATCCACTTTGTTACAGAGTCCAAGCTCGCTCTGCTCGCCCCATGACAGGCCAATGAATCGGAGACAAGGTGTTGAAGCAAGAAGTATGACTTTATTCGGAAAGCCAGCAGACCAAGATGGCAGATCAGTGTCTCCGATAAACCATCTTATCGGGTTTGGATGCCAGTTTCTTTTATAGCACAGAAAGGGGGAGGAGATGAGGAAGTAAAGTAAAAGCGCCATAAGTTTTGCAAATATCCCCTGAAATGGCCAGCCTTGGGGAGGGGATGTGTTAATTTCTTCTTTTCTGCAGTCACCCACAGGTGGGCAGATTATCTCCCGGTGGGCTGAACAAAAAGGCACTTTAGTTTAACATTCAGGCAGAGAGGCAGGGTTCCCTGAAGCAGTCCATTATGTATGATTATAAAAACAAAAGCAAAGGTTAAAGTCAAAGAAACAGTCCAATTTAGCTCTTCCCTGTTACAATTCCCCACTGTCAGTGTCCGTTCCACAATCTTGTGGAAAAAGGGGTGACAACGTTTTAACTGCTCTGTCAGATGGATCTTTCCGGGAGTGTCCACCATCGGTGTCAGTGTTCCAAATGCTGAGATTTGTCTTTTGTTCCACTTTGGAAGTGTCTACTTTACACCTGGAGACTTAAAAATATTTACAACCTAAAAGCTGAGAGTTATCAGGAATTTTGAGGGCTTCAAGCCCAGGAGGCTGCATCTCAAGTT